TTTCCTGTGTCTAGTTTGATGCCAGCAAGGTGCGTTGACACAAAGGAATGAGTTTTCAATCATATTTATTCGAGCCCCGTGACAGAAATTTTCATGTACATCATGTCCACATAATGCCTTTACTGCGACATTTTGTTTTTATTGTCAGCCTTACTAATCCCTTTCAGTCTTTAACTTGAAAAGTACAAATTTTAGAAAAATTATGAACTTTAAAAAAGGTTGCAAAAAAAGATTAAAGACAACACAGACTTGCGGTTCAGGAACACTCACTCATTACTATGGGGTTCAAATAAGTATGGCAAAACGATCATTCCTTCATAGCCATGCACCTGGCTGACGCACTTATTCCATAATGATTTCAACTGAAGACTTTAACGTTGGTAGCAGAAGAAAATCAAGCAACCTTTCGAGTAATCACCCTAAGTGACTGGCTCCAAACCCTCATAGTTTTACAATACGTAAATCTAAACAAGAATTAACAAATCCGGCATGATAGTGACAATAAGTAAGATGAAACAAAAGTGTAAATGACTTCTAAACATCAAAAAATCGCAGGCAAGTTAAGAGATAGGGTACCGCGAAATAAGCAAGAGAAACTTACGCTGTCTGATCCTGATGCTGCAACATTTCCGAAAGAAAATTGATGAGATAGGTGAGATTATGCCGATGACAGGCGGGAAGCTCACCGATACAACGCTCGAAAGCTTGCAATTTAGCTTCATCTTCTAACCTGAATTGGTTAGTAACTAGAACAGCAGTGAGTATCTCCAAACCAAGGAGTCAAAGAAAGGAGATGCAAAGACTAACTTTGCTGCGTTCACCCAATCATTGTGCAACCGATGAGTAAGAAGAGGATCAGGTAATTCTCTTAGATAGCTCTTCAGTACACTGCAGACAGAGTGGGGATCCATACAGTATGCACGTTCGTCAATCTAAATAGTTTGGAATTACTTATTCTCGAATAAGTTGAGCAACGTTCTAATCGCCTCACGTCAATCTGTCCAGCGTCGAAAGCTGCCTTCATTCTGCGAATTTTTGTGTTGTTTCCATTAACCCGAAACAGGCCTGAAAGATAAATTCTGACTACTCATGAATGGAAAATTTTACACTTGTATCTCCACAATACCTTAAAACTTGTTTCTAGAGCATAAAAGTACGTCTCCTACTGATTCGCCTTTGTCCTAGTATATATTTCAGTACCCGACTGTTCATCACTTCTGCCATAATTTACGATAGCTCCACACCTACTTTCCTTCTCCATCACATTGGACAAAGTTGTAAAGACTCATAAATACTTTTCACTCTTCGCAAAGAATGAGGTAGATCCGCAATCGCAACATCACTTGTACTAACTATTTGAGAAAAGCAGTGACACCGTGCAGCGTAGTTAGAAAAGGGAAGGCAATTTTTCTTTTGTATAAGGTGTTGAAAGCCAGGCATGCCAAATATAAAGAAAGTGAAACAAAATGAATACTTCTCAGCTAATCAAAGCAGTGATGTGATCAAGTAAAAGTCTTAGACACGTAATACCTGCTTATACTGTACAATCGTTCTTACAGCAAATTTTTAATAACATCGTTGTGACCAATCATTACATACTACGTTGATTTCGGGAATGCGCTCTATAGATAATGTAGATGAGACATTTTAATTATAAATTTTCTGAACAATAAGATAATCCACACGCTTTTAAGAAACGATTTCTGTTTCTTTTCAAAATTTAAAAACAACTGAGTGGATGATGGGAAAGAAATCCTTGTGAAAAGCAAGACGTAAACCGACAAGTAGTAAAATTAACAACCAAATGAACAAGCGCTTTAGCATACTCACAGGCTTAAAGCTCTTTACTGATAACAAACAAGAAAAGTTGTCTAAAATAAGTTATTCCCAAATCACCAACCTTTCTCAGTAAAGCCACTTGCTCTAAGCATTGAACAGCATTTTTCTAACACTAGAGCTACACGTCCCTGAGTATGACGAAGATGTTCGCTGAGGTCAATACCAAAAACCGGGCGTGGCCGAGCATTGTCTAAATTCAATCAGCCTTGGAATCACATTCAGGACAAAATTATCTTGACTGTTCTCCGTTACCGATATCGCGACGAATCTCTGGTAAAACCATTTCCAAGGTTCTCATAGCAACACGATGGTATTCAAGCTGTTCTTCCAGCAAAGCAGTGAATACCTTAAGGCCAAATCTAAAACTGAGGATGTGGACATTAGCATTAACTTAGAACATACTTTTGCAATTTCTTGTTCTTTCGCAGCTAGTGAATATACATCTGTGATAGTGTTATCCTGAAAAAAACCCCTATCTTGG